ATTTTTCTGGGTTCACTCATTTATCATCTTCAGTAGATATTTATGGCCTATAACCCAAGGTACTTTTGAACCATGAAGTGAAGTACTGAAGACAAATCCTGCTGCAATAAAATAAAACCCAAATGCAGAATACTAAAAACAGTCTCCCTTGGCTTGTGCTTTGCACATTGAAAAAGATCATTATCACAGGGGAAGGGACAAATCATTATTTTTCATTTACGATGGAGCAAGGTAATTGCCCTTGACACTAGCCAGCGATGGAGAATTTAGAAATCACTGATAGAATCGTGTTCCTGATTATCACAGGTACAAAAAGAGCTCTCTTTTCCTGCTGATAACCAGGGGACAGGCGAGAGGCCTGGGAGAGTCACGTGGCCCCTGGGGAAGAACAGCCTCTCTGACCAGCCAGGATTGGTCTCAAAGCTCCTTTGACAGCCAGCGCATCATATGAGGCTAACTGGATGGAGCAATTGTGCAGAGTATATGTGTGTTTGAGTAAAAAAAAAAGTCTCTGTGCTGTCCAAGCATCCTGTTTTTTGTTTGTCCTTATTTATAAAGAGCAGAATTGGACTTACAGGAATAATTAATTCTACCAGAAATCTGCATTTCATGCCAAAGTTTTTCTCCCAAAGTCTGACTGTCTAAAAGATGTTTGCAAATATCATAATGACTGTTTAGCTCATTAAATACAGGGACCTCAGCAGATGGATGCTAACTTGCATTTATGTTCAAAATTAGACAAGGAATTTGGGGTCCTACTTCCATCCATGCTGCCATTTGGAAATGGCAGTGTCATGCTCACTGCCTCTAATTCAAATTATCTCCCTTTTGCACATCTCATTATTTCTGGGAAGAGCTGGGGTGTCTCTTCCCATGTGCCAGCTATTGCTTACAGAGCTTGATTTTTTAATGTCATAGTCACTGCATTGTCTATAGTAAGTTACTGGAAATTATAGTGGACTAACCGATGTAAGGCATATGAAACCTATATTTGCCTAATAAAAATAATTTAGTGTTATTAGCCTCATAAAAATTATTTTTAAAATAATCAAGGAGAACTGTGTAAAATGACTTAAATCCCATTTTAATAAATGATTTTGTAAATTTTCCTGATTATAAAAAGTTGGAAAAATTCAACACTTTATTATATAAGGGAAGATGGAAATGTAATTTAAGTGAATTTTTAGATCATTCTAGACCAGGTTCAGAACACTTTATGAAAGATGGTTAAGAGGTCAAACATATTTGATTATTAGACAAGATGAAGGGCTGAAAGAGCTAGATAAAACCTTTCTAATTGTTTATAAAAAAGAAGAAAGAATTACTAGCTACATATTTTTTTATAAAGACAACTGAGTTGAAAATGCAGTTTATACCTTTTAATCAAATAGACTGAACTCTAACTGATGTCACTAGAATAACAAGAATTCATTTTTACATGTTGCAAGCTTAGAAACTGAGATAATTTAGATAGGTGTTATGATGAAGTTTACTTTTACTTTATTTATGTTAAAGTGTCCTAAGAAAGTGAACCAAGTAAACAAGCTTGCTAGGATTTATTTCCTCTACTAGAGGAAATAAATAATTTTCAAGTTCATTCCTCCCCCATCCCCTCTCAACATTTCCTGAGCACGCCCTCTATGGGTGTATTTATTTTCTACTGTAGCTCTCTAAGGATTTACTACAAACTTGGTGGCTTAAAACAGCACAAATTTCTCTTACAGTTTTGTTGGTTAGAAGCCTGACATGGGTCTCACTGGGCTGATACCAAGTGTCCACAGGGCTGCATTTTTTTTGGAAACTCTTTAGGAGAATCTGGGACTGGCTTTCTTGTCTTTTGCAATTTCTAGAAACCATCTACCTACATTCCTTAACCCATGGCCTCCTCCCTTCATCTTCAGAACCAGCAACATTACATCTCTCCGACCATTCTTTTTCAGTCACCTCTCCCTCTGACCACAGCTGGAAAAGGTTCTTAGATATTAAGGAGCCATGTGATAACACTGAGCCCACCTGGATAATCCAGGACGCTCTCCCCATCTCAAGGCCCTTGACATTAATCACATCAGCTACATTCTCTTTGCCATGTGTGACAACATATTCACAGGTTCCAGGGACTGGGACCTGGATGTCTTTGGTGGGGGCACAAAGGGAGACAGTGTTCAGTTCACAGGACTATGAAGCAGCATTAGAAGATACTAATGCCGATATATTAATTTTAAATACATTTGTCGTATAATAAGTGAGTATAATAAATTCATATTTATTAATGAAGGGAATAATGATAAACTTCCTTTAAATAAAAGGTTTTCCTAAAGTGTTTGAAATGTTTTTATGTACATAAAATTTAAAAGATAGTAAATTATTGTTTAATAGTAATAATCCCAGTGCCTCCCACAAGTCTATGTATTTTTCATAACTTAATTATAATGACAATATAACTTTATATGCATAATACTATTTTATAACCTGTTCTCTTCACTTAGTTCTTATATATACTATTCTACTCCTTTTACAAGAGAGAAAGGAAAAACAAAGGACAGGATGCTTGGACAGCACGGAGCCCTTTTTTTTTTAAGCCGGTGCACACACACTCTGCACAACCCCTCCTTCTGATCAGTCTCCTAATGAGCGGTCAAGGGAGCATTGGGACCCACATGGAATAAAATATTTGTATTTTATCATGCTTTACTCCTGATGTCAGAGATTCATGTGTTTACAGTTTCTTACTTGTGTAGATAATGCTTCACTGAGCATTCAATTATTTGTGCAGCTGTTTTTTGCTTTTATTGAATAAATCCCTTAGAAAAAAACCATTTGAAAGAAATTATGGACTCAAAATATATGCTGTCTACTTACCGGTTGCCTACTCATTCCCCTCTTCTTATTTATTTACGGAACCATAGTTTTGTTCAGGTATGTGGTGGTAATTTGGTCAAGGACCCCAGGGTAAGCCCCAGGGCATGAATTTGTCCCATAAGCCAAACCTGGCTTTTTCTTCTCCTTTGCCAGTGACTGACTTAAGAGTGACCTGTGGCTCCACTCTGACCAGCAAGACCAAGGTGAAGTTTCTATTGCTGGCGAGGGTTGGACCAGAGCTGGAATGTCAGCTGCTGCATCCGTGAGGGGCTGACATCTGTCCGCGCCGCCTGGGTGCCGGTCACTGGAATTCAAATGAGTGCGGAGCTGGGCTAGGCCGGGTGGGAAGCGGAGCCCAGGGCAGCGCAGGGGGCGAGCAAGGAGGGGCTGAAAGGTGACACGCGGGCCAGGGCGACCGCCACGGCGTGACCCAAAGTGCCATTGCTGGGGTTCGGGTGTTTCAGACGCTCGGGGATATGTGACCTGAGGACAGGACATCCCAGGAAGTGCGGGCTCCAGAGACTGTGAGCAGCAGGTAACAGGCCCCACAGGTCATTTTAAATTTCCTAGTAGCAGCATTTCAGAGAAGGTCAAAAGAAACGAGTGATGTTAATTTTAATAATGTATTTTATTTAGCACAATATATCTAACATATTATCATTTTACTATATAATCCTATTCCAGCGTCTCAATTTGCTACAGCCACATTTCAATTGCTTATAACCCGGCACCTAGAAAGATGAATTTAGAAACCAGTTGTAACATCAGCACCACCCTTGGCTTGCTAATGTGAATCCATGTCTGGGTTGTTTTTGTTTTCTGTTTTGTTTTGTTTTTCTATTATGAACAGCGCCATGACGAACAGTCACATGCGCAACTCCTGGCGCAGGAATTTGGGACAGAATATCCCCAGGAGTAGGAGAGCTGGGAGGGAGCAGATGAAACAGTGCCCAGTTGTTTTCCAAGGTGGAGGCTCGAGTTCACACTCTCACTAGCAGTGTGTAAGAGTCCTCGCTGTTCCACATTCTTGCTGACATTTGGAAAAGTCACATTTCTTCATTTTTTGTCAAATGGTTTGTGTAAAATGGTTTGCTATTTTGTCACAATTTGGATTTTTCTGATGATTAATGAGATTGAATATTTTTTCAGATGCATATGAACCGTCAATATTTCTCTTCTCAAACCACAAATATTTACTCACTCAAATATAAACATGTATGTTACATGTTATATATGTATATCACACAATATATTCACATATGTGTCATAGAATATATTCATTCACAAATATTTATTGAGCACTACCTGCTAATATTAGTCTAGGTACTGTAAATGTACTTGTGAGGGAAGAATAGTCCCCAATCCTGGAGTCTACATTCTAGTGTGCGTATGTGGCAAGGAGGCAGAGACAAAGAAAAGTAAACTACCATGTGCTATATGAAATTAGTGAGTCTGGCTAAGCCATTTTACATCACTAAACCTTGGTTTCTGCAATTGTAAAAACGAGATGGTAATAATATCTATCTTATATTGTTTTTTCTTTTTTATTAAATTTATTATGGTGACATTGGTTAATAAAATTATATGGATTTCAGATGTGCAATCCTATAATACATCATCTGTATATTATATTGTGTGTGCCTTAACACAGCGCCTGGCAAATTGTTAGGATTCAGAAATGTTGTTGTTATTATTATTTTCCCCTTTCTTGCTTTTACTTTTTCTTCAGGAATTTTTTTTTCAGTTACAACTACTAAAGTTTAAGATTAAATATGTTTTGGTTTTGTTGAAGTGTTGGCTCTCTTTTGGGTATCAGCCTGCTGGTGTTTTCTGCAGCAATAGATGACTTGGGCTAGTTTTAAGATGTGTTATTTTGAAACTTCTTAAGTCTCAAGGATCAAGATCCTGAGAACATACACTTTTTTAAAAGCCACATCATGTCAAATAGCCAAAAATGTGGGGACATCTGTAGGAATGTTTTGTATAATTCAGGACTGTGTTCTGTGAGTATAAATGTTGCTTGAATTCATTTCACTACAGCCACCAATTTATTGTAAACTGACTATGTGCAAAGCACTACGCAGAGGAGATGCATGTGACCTTATTAATCTTTGGAACAATTATCTGTCCCTCTTTCTTAGATAATGATGTTGAAAATGATCTTCAATCAGACATCAGTTGAACACTGCAAGACGCACCCAGAAAAGGAGAAAGAATGCAACTTCTTCTTAATAGCTGTCCGCCTAGCTTCACTGAACCAGATCTTGGATCCCTGGGTCTATCTGCTGCTAAGAAAGATCCTTCTTCGGAAGTTCTGCCAGGTAGCAAATGCTGTCTCCAGCTGCTCTAGCGATGGACAGAAAGGGCAGCCTATGTCATTATCCAATGAAATAATACAGACAGGAGCATGAATGAGAACACTTAATCAGCATGCATGTTCACAGCTTTCGGCAACAAGTAGTCTTAAACCTTACTGTGAATTTAGGCATCTCTGGCATGCCACTGTTTATGCATTGAAGTAGAATTTTTGATATAAGGCTGAATGGTCTCAGCATAGATAATCCCGTGTGCCAAAAGTATTGAAACACAAACAAAGGAAATATATTAATAACAGTCTAGTGTTTTGGGGTCTCTGCCATTTGTAGCTGAATATGTGATTATTTATAAGCGATCTTAGTCTGTGGTGGGAGTGGGATGGGGAAAGTTAATATTCCAGTGTACTGAGCATATGGGGGATTTAATGCACAGATCATTGAAGTCAAGGCGACTGTTTGTGTTCAAAGTCCTTGGCCTTCTGTGTCTCTTTCTCTCTATGTCACTCTTTTGCCCCCTTACATTTTTTTTTTTTTTAATTTGAATTAAGATTAAAAATATGGCCCGGCCGGGGGTGGCTCAGCGGTTGAGCATCGACCTAGGATCCAGGCGATTGGGCTTCGATTCCCGGTCAGGGAACATGCCCGGGTTGCGGGCTCGATCAATGACTCTCTCATCATTGATGTTTCTATCTCTCTCTCTCCTTCTCCTGTCCTCTCTCTGAAATCAATAAAGATATATTAAAAAAAAAAAAAAAGAGATTAAAAATATGTATCTACAATATTCATTGCTACTGATGTTAAGTATTGTTCAATATGTAAATTAGCTGCTAACATTATAAAGTCCATGTTTTGTCTGGGTTGGTAATTAGGTTTACTTATTACCTAAATAAGAGCCAATTTCATTTATTTTAAATAGGGGAGGACTTGTGGCTCTTCACATTGCTAAACGTCCTTCCTTTTGCGTTCACTGTTAATTCCTCCGAGCCCGGAGAAGATTCATGGAGCTGATCTTGAGAGGCGGTGGGGTAACTTTTCAGAATGCTATTTAAGGGCTGAGTTGAGCACTAAATATAGGTACTCTGGTAAATTATCTTTGATTTTTTTCACCGAAAGTATTCTCCAGTCTTTTGGGTATTTAAATACTAACTCTGATTCTAAGGCCAATAAAATTTTGAGGGTTCCATAAAGACTTTCCATAGTTTGAGCTATTTATTGGATAAGAAAATAATAATATTGACCCCCTCACAGCACTTTCTCTGCCCTCTCCTCAGAGTAACTCTATCTAAATATTTATTATTAAATGTTTTTCTTATAGTTTACGTAGCTGAGCTTTATATCTTTTAGGCACAAGTAGATTACTACATTAAGTTTTGAGAACTGCACTTTTAAAAACTTTTTTCCGAACAAACATACAGTCTTTTAAGTTAGGCCTACACAAAATGTTCTTCGTATTCTTGGGAGCACTCATTTGGTAAACTAATTAATATTTTCTCGTGAAGATTTTAATTTTCAGGTTCCTTTATTGCTTTCATAGTTTTGTTTTGTTTTTAAAAAAAACTTGCAATTTATTTATACTTCTTTATAGTAACTACATTTTTCTCTGAGTTTAGTAGGCATTTGAGGAGGAATTAACTTTAACAGGTACCATATATCTATTAGATTACTCTGTAAACCAGTCTAGGTCAATCAGGAATCATCAGTCTAACTGACCATGTCAAACTGACTGAGAAGACAGCACCTGTTGGGAGTGCTTATGTAACTCATGGTAATTCTGAGAGTCTAGGCTTTGGAAGAAACGGTGATAAGTAACCTTTACTAAAACCTTCTTATAAAATCTCTCTTTGCCATAAAGCAGATTATCCCACAGGTCACTACATGGGGAATAACGCAAAATGACCTACTTCAGAAAAAAAGTGCACTCAGATGACCTTGCAATAAAAAGATTTTACCTCTTGAGTGGTCTCTGACCCTAGGCTATAATCAGATAGAAACAGGTGCAATGTGGATTCGAGTGGTGTGAGCGTGATTGGCTTATTTTTTCCAACACCTACTACAGCACTTGGAATATAGAAAGTGTTCAGTATTTGTTCAGCAGATGAATGAATAAATGTCTGCCAAACTCAAGTGCCATCGGCAAGGCACCACCATATGGTTGAAGTGCTTTATGCCATTACAGTTCGTCAAGCTGATAAAGTGGATGGTCTCTGCCTATTTAATTACAGAAATATGAATTTGTCTTCAAGTGTGTAGTGTCATATTGCTGCACAGCAAAGTGCCATATTTGTATTAATAATTTAAGAGACTGATAAATCCAAATGGTAATGGTGATTACTGTCAAACAAAAATCCCTTTTTATCCAATCATAGAAATACATAAAGATCCTGAAACTTAAACCACAGAATAAATTCCTGTCCAGGGAAATGTAGCAAGTTTTGGAGGTGAGAAAGGAAGAAATTATGTAAATGGCATGTGAATTTTGTTACCTAGGCAGCCATTAGTTACTCCAAGGAAAAAAACCTAACAAGAAATAAAAGTTACAAATAGTTTTAGCCTTTGGATGATAGTTGAGGTTAGATTTCAGAGACATTGTGCATAGGCCCTAGATTTGGTTGGGAAGTGGACATCTGTAGTCACTGTACAAGAGTATGTCTGTTTCCAAGTTTAAGTTCATTGGCCTTAAAATTCACTCTCATATACTTAGTTTATCTATGCATACAACTGAACAGGGGGAAAAATGCATGCATAAATTATGACAATTCCTAAACTTCACAATATTGGTAATAAATAAGTAAATAAATAAAGGCCTAAGAAACCACATGGAAAGAAATGAGTGAGTAGAATGTAGAAATATAAGTAAAATCAGCCATCAATAGGTTTTACAAAGGAGTCCTGATTTTCTAAACAATGAAATTATACAGCTATACTGAGTCATAGAAGAAAATGATGACATACTATCCAATAAGAACAGTTTGCTTTTCAAATAATATAAGTATGGTGAATATCTTAAAAATATTTTAAGTTGAAAAAAAATGTGTTATCTCAAAATTTACAAAATTTACCTATTGCTTGTATCCAAGATATTTCAAGTAAACATAAGTGTTTAATCATGCCAGATTTAAATGGCTGTGAGTTTAAAAGTGCACATATATTTCTACTTAACACTTTCTGAAAGAAAGTGTTAATATGAAAGATCTCAGGACCATGTTACAGAAAAAGAAATTGTAGAAGCTCGTGTAAAAGTTAAGTAGGAAAGACCCTGTGACCATGCTGAAGGGATGGGGGGGGGGAGGAGAGAGAGAGGTTGCCTCCCATAAGCACCCCTACCCAGATCGAACCCAAAACCTCAGGTATGCACCTTGATCTTTTTGGTGTGTGAGATGCTGCTCCAACCAACTTTGCCATGTGGCCAGGGCAAATTGGGCTTTTTATTTATTTTATATATTGGTTTTGACCCCAAATTAGTGGTTGGTTTTCAATCTTGTTTACAGCAACAATTATTTAATAGTTCTTTTGTATTGGGATCAAGTCAGAGACAGAAAATAGGAAAATTTTATGCTTTGCGGTTTTAGGCACATATATTGCCTCCTTATTTTCATACTTTAATCCCCAAAGCTGCTCTTGAAATACACAGGATACTGGAAGATGAGTGACAAGAGAGATTTCAGAGCATTTCTTACTAAAACCATATGGAATAATTAAAATTTCTATGGTTTACCTATATGAAAAGTTTAGACCATCAACCATGCCAAACCTTCACAGCAGTTTGTTTATTGCTGGTTTTGTGCTTGTGTATGTCTCAAAATCTCTAAAACTGATGTCTAAATAAATGTAAAGAATTGTTCAATGAATGAGATTACACCGTTTTAAAAATGAAGACTTTAATACTGTGGCTAAGTCCATAGGACTGTTTTCTGAGTTGCAATAAAATGCTGATAAGAGGTGACATATATCTGTGATGTTTTATCACAAAGGTTGTGATAGAACCAATGTACAAAATAGGAAAATCAATCTAAAATGAACATACACATTTGTTAAGAAGCTGAAGCTCGGCCCAGCCGGTGTGGCTCAGCAGTTGAGCATCGGCCTGTGATCCAGGAGATCGGGGTTCGATTCCCGGTCAGGGCACATGCCCTGGTTGTGGGCTCGATCAATGACTCTCTCATCATTGATGTTTCTATTTCTCTCTCCCTCTCCCTTCCTCTCTCTGAAATCAATAAAGATATATTTTTTAAAAAGCTGAAGCTCAGTATTCTCAGACAACTAATAAGTGGTGATTACAGATGATGCGTGAAACAGAGAATTAGGGAACACTTTTTCATAGAATTCCATTATATTGGTATCATTTATATAGATACTAATCTCATGCAAAAATTCACATTCACCTGAATTACTCCAACAAAAAAAGTTTTAATTTATTATAAATTTGTATCTATGGTTATCAAGTAAAATCTTGTACATGTCTTCCCTGGGTGCATTTTCTTATTGAGTTCACCTGGAATAAAACTGAAGAAAGTAACAAAAGAGTAGTGCAGGGTGATTGTTCTCAAAGCGACAAAGGGGGAACTGAGACTATGTATATCAATGAAGACTTTAGCAAGTCTAGAATAAAGTCATTTTTTTTCAAAAAGAGATCAACAATTCGTTTTTAAGTCACATAGAAAGATATATTCAAAGCATGCTATTTAACAATTCCATTCTTACTTGCCCCTGTTCTCTATTCTTTTAAAGGACAAAAGAGCAGAAAGTTTTTATTTTATATATTATCTATTTTATAATTCCTAAAAAGGAGGGTTGTATTTCAAGGCTTCTAATTCATACAAAGTGAGTTGTAAACCATTACATTCCCACACCATCAGCCGAGAACATTTCAATTCTCGAGAAATACAATTCAAGCAGATACATACCAAATTCATTTCTACATCACATTTTCTTTATTGAAATTAAAATTATTTCATTTTCAGAAGCTTTATACCGGTTTCATATCATAAGCGACCCAAATAGCTCCT